TATTGACTGCATGTGTGTTTTCCTCAGGCTGCTGTTAGAGGCCAGAAAGGAGAGAAAGGCGAGCCTGCTGTCTTGGAGCCTGTGAGTCAATTCAACAGTTTTACCTGACCGGGTGTTTTGGGAGGGGAGGGGTTGTTTTACCAGAAGCTACAGGGAATTGCACTGGCAACCTTCTCATTACTATCCTGGATTCTGAAACGACCTGAAATTTCTTTTCAAAAACGGTTCTTTAAACTTTAAAGATGTGAGTTGCAGCTAAAAAGCTCTTTGCCTTTGCCAACCACAGTTTCATGTCTCATTTCTTCTTTTAACTCATCATGAACCAGAAGCAGACTTTGAACTAACCATACTCTCTCAATCGAATTTGCTTACTTCCTCCCTGCTCCCCCACTTCCTGTCCACTTGACCAATTAGGATGTAGACACTGAATATTCTGAGGCTGGCCACACCCCTACAGAGACTGATTATTACTATGAGGAGACCTTCACAGAGCCAGAGGGTGAGGTGGTTGGACAAGAAGAAAACGCTGTACAGGTAAAAAGAAGATGACACACTTATCAGAAGCACACATCAGGTCAAGCTAGAGTCCACAGAACAGCTTAAACTTCACATACGTGTGTTTTAATAAAACCTCTGAGGGAGAGGAGGATGTGATTCCTGTGTGGTGGTGAGCCCAGTCTTTGTAGTGTAACAAAGTAGTTTAAGCTCTTTGTTTCTCCGTTTACTTTTCTAACCACTCATCACTGTTTTGTCGGCATCGATGTCACGTGACAAGACATAAGAAAAACCTCTTTCAAAACAGAATGCACCGCAATCATCCGAGTGTACCATCGGATATTTTTACGTGGTTCCCGTTTTTCCTAACAGCAAGAGTCCCGTTTTGTTCTCATCTCGAGATCCGTCATTGTCATTATCTCGACATAAGAACAAGAATCTTGTGAAAACAGGATCCACATGAGAATATTTGATATGTGCTTTGAACCTCAGCAAAAAAAGATGAATTAAATGCATTCTTGTTTGAGAGACAATCTAACTGTACTAAAGATCTAGATGATTTGCAAATTCATCACATTTTTGATTTTGTTTTGTTTTCCAGTTTCTATTTTTGCTGCTTTTTTATCATGATATGATTTAGAAACCAAATACCGACATTATTCATAATTATCAGGGAGGGTGTGTCAGATATATTAATGCAATGTGGATTTTTTTATATTAGAAAACTGTGCAGTAAATTCACTGGATTCTTGTTTGTTATTAAACTTACATGGTAAGTAAAAAATAAGAAATAACATAGTTTTTGCTTTGCGTAGCAGCTCGTCTTCACAAAGTGTTTAACATCAGCTCTGTGTGTGCACGTACGATGCAAACATCACCATTAAAAGTGTTTTTACTTCTCAAACCTTTACATTTGTGAGAACATATTTGATCACCGGTCATCACGAGGACTGATGTTAAAAAGCTTTGGTGAAATTGTTCCAGAATAAACTAAACTTCAGATGATTAATGGAAGATTTAGGGTTTCCAGGATAAACCTGATCGCCTGTACGGTCTGCCAGATGTCTGTTTGTGTTCTCTCCCTCTGTGACTGTTTATTTATAAAAGGTAAGACTCACTTTTTTCTGTATGCTCCTCTTCCACCGCTGCTTTCCTCTCATTCTTCATTTCAATTCCACCCTGAACATTTCCCCGTCCTGCACACCTCTCCCCCTCTCTTTGACTATTCTCCTCGTCCTTTCTGCACCTTTTCTTTTCCTTTGCTTGAATCATTCTCTCGTGCCCCTCCATCCATCCCGCTGTGGCTACGATAAACTCGTCGCAGCCTCAGGTGGAGCCAGCACTGGTGGGAGAAGAGGTAGACGCCGCCAAGGCGGGCGGTACTGGAGAAGAGCTCTTCACTGAGGAGTATGAGACTGGGGACGTGGGCCTTAAGGAGTACGACTATAACTACAGAGACTACAATGAACCATCACCAGAGACTGCAGAGGTTGATGGCAACATTGGCCCCGCCCTGTCCGCTGTGACAGACGAGGGAGGCGTAAGTCGCTTTGCTTCAGAGGCAAAAACACAAAAAACATTTCAACCAGCTCTACAAAGTATCGTGAAATTGCATTCAGTGTCCCGTCACGTGACTTGTTTGAGTTTGCACTGCAGAGAGAGATTATCTTACATTAAGCCTTACGTTAATTCAGCTGCTGATGTTTTGGTAGCTAATTTGCTAATTTGAATTCAAACACTGAACATTGCTTTGAGAACTGGCACAGAGATGATCCTCAAACATGGAGTTAAGAAGCCTCAGCTGTCCAGACTGGATGCATCAACCATCATTCACCAAACCGTGAATTCAGAGTGGACGACATTCATGTAAAATTTGTTCACAGTCTCCGTTTTATAGCCTGCAAACTCAGTCAGTCACAGAGAAACGGACAGCGAATGCATTTCAAGGCAAAGTTATCACAGCAGTGGTTGAAATGGGTTTTCTTTTATAGTGTGTGTATTGAGCCTTACAGTAACTTATACTGTCACATATGCTCCATAAAGAGGCATTCAGAGGTGATCTTTCGCCCTGAATGTCGTTTTGAGTATATGTCTTTGTATTTTGGTGCCCAGCTCAGAGGATTCTGTATCTGTGCATAAATACGTCTGTAAGTCATGGACCAACAGTTTGGAGAGCTGCTGAATCAATGGTATTTGG